CGAATTATGAATGATAATATATGTATGTGCCGGTTTTTGATAAATTCAAAAATCATGTTTGTTGTTAACTTTTGTTATTGTCAAGTTCAAAAATGTATAGAGTCGTCCTTCTTCATCTCCATTGTGAATGTGATAGAAGGGTGGAGAGAATTGATAAATTTCAAAAAATTTGTCAACTGTCTGTTCGTTCCTGTGAAACATACCAGGATATCATCCACATATCTATACCGATACACGAAACTTCTTACCAGTGGTTACTGTGTATTTTTCTCTCCAAATCGTCTATGAAAATCTCTGCCATAATAGGACTGAATGGGTTTCCCATTATGAGACCTTTGCAGGATGAATAAAAAGTTTCATTGAATTGGAAGTAATTCCAAGCAAGTCTAATGAACGATCAAACTGAATTGAATAATTTGCCATTATTGAACCTGTTTTCGAAAACTTTATTGACTAGTTGATGAGTTCAGACCTGACCTTTTCAGTTAGATTCATTCATTAGAAATCAGGAATACGACTAGGTAATAGGTTAGACTTTGAAGTGGTTTAAATTAGAAGTTACTTTTAGTTAATCCTTGAGACAGCGATTGTATAGCGAAACACGTGTCGCGGTTTTTGTAAAACCCTTTATAGTGAAAATCATAAAATAAACTGTATTTATTAGTTTCAATATTTTTAAGTTGTAAACGATGAAATTATCAACCTTCCCATCATTTTCAATTTATGGATCCTAATCTTGGAGCAGAACGTATTCAGGAGAAAAGTCAATAGATAACCTACGAACACCCTGAAATTTAGATGTTTCTGAAAATGGTCCAAACATAGTAGTCGACTGTGCCAAAGTCAAGCGATCTTATAGGTCAGCTATGAGGTCAACCCCTGCCTATTCAGAAAGTTCTGATGGAAAAAATCTTACATTATTACCCTGTAACGACGCGAGGTCTTAGGTATCAACATCAATACCTGTATCATCAATCAAAACGACTGAATCTGCAAGAAGTTCAAAGAAACTGGTGATTTTTTTATCGCATTTGCAGAAGGAAAATAAAATAGATTCATTAAGCTCTCGATGTAGGTCATACTATTACGATTTTCCTGAGCTGAAATGCATCGCTCATCCGTATTCATCAGGTTTCCATTGAAGCCCTACCAATGCGCCCAGCCGCGTTAAACACAATACGAGTATATGCATAGGCGTCGGTAGAGAAGTGGAATCGGTAACCGTTCCCAATAATATAACAACTTTGTTGCCAGATGTCGATAGTGGAGTGGGTGAGCTTAGTCTTCTTTCATTAAATATAGGAGTTGTCTCTAGATGTCAACTTTTTCGTGGGAAACTAGAATTTCAAAATCGATAATTTTTACTACTATTCAATAGGGTAGGATTTGTACAGATGATGGCTCTACTCAAACAGTAAACAACTAATAACTTAATGTGTTGTTTTGTTTGTTGTGTTTTGAGATGTTTAATGGCAAATTTGTAAGAGAAGGCGATGAATAGAGAAGGCGATGAATAACACCTGAATTTAAAAGTACCGGGTCTAAGAAAGAAAACGAAGATTAATCTTCCTCTTGAAGATGATCACTTGGTGATCGAAGCACGTGTCGAGGTGTTAACATAACGGTGTGATGTTTGGATAAAAATCCAGTAATATTCAAAATTGGTTAATTCATCAACGTAATCTCCATCAAGTCTAAATAATCTGTTACTGATTAATCGGATGGATTATAGTGATATAGTTCTGTTTATTTTTCAGATTTTGTAACGTAAAATAGTCGAAAAATTGTAAAAACTGCCTTTCAAAGAATGTAGGCCTTCTACTGAACTGAAGTTTACATTTTCAGAAGTGGTTTTTACTTTTAAGATAATATTGTGATTTACAACGGAAATGATGTGAACATTTTTCAGTCATCATTGATTCTCAAATTTTGTGAAAGATAAAACAATGGATACAAATTAAATTTTATCAAATCATATCATAACCATTTGAATTTTTATGGCATCCTTGCTTATTAACCACCTTATATAATTGAAAGATTGAACTGGAATGTATGGCGTAAAATTAATCCAAAGCAATCGCTGCTCTCACACACTTTCAGTGTGTGAGGGCAACGCTCCTCACGACACGTTTCTTCAGCACCAAGTTGACTTCATCAGAAGATAAACTAGACTCATCACGGAGACCAGACTGAATTCGATCTAGTTCTTCTAGTGATGCTGCTAACTTGGTTGGTCTAAGAGGCGATGCAGAGTGTTGTAGTTGCAGTGTGTGAGAATAGTAACTGTTCTGGGCCTGTACAATATTTTGAAGAAATTGTATTTTCTCAATAACGTGTTATAAAGCTGCTTCAATACAGAATATGTTGAAACTTTTCTGGATAATAATACTCTTTTCTGCCTTTTTAAATGTCTTATAACGTACGGTATCTTCAACATCCTCCATCCCGTGAAAAATTAGGTCTTCACATCAGTAGGCAAAATACACATTTCAGTGATATTCTTTGTTCCACATTGGCTGACCCATCAGCTGACCCAAGTATATCACTTGTGGTCTCACTGTGGATATCGACATCACCTGGCCTCAGAAACAGAAAATGGTTAGGAGTTATCGCTCCTGGGTCATTAGGGTCTACTGAGATATGTGTTAAGGGTCTAGAATACAGTGTAAATTCAATTTCGGCAAAGTTTAAGGATCTTCTTCTCTGAAACAAACCGTTCTTAAAGTTACCCTGAGAGCCGTTTTTACGCAGCATACGTTTCCATATTTCACCCATACGGCTAGCAGCTGGAGGGTTGAATTTCCACAGAGTACCCCGGCAAGTACCTTCATCTGACAATTTCGTGAGATCCAACGAAGTAGCACCTTCTATGAGCTCTAGATTAGTCTGGTTTCCGGAAACTGATCAATTTATATTTTCTTTAAACTTTACAAAAACTCCTAGCGCAATATCAACTGGATTGAAAGTACCAACCAAACAAGAGATATTGAGAATCATAATGTCTATTTTCGACAATATTGGATTTGTAGCATCATAAAATACATTTTTGGAAAAAAAGTTTTTGCCTTTCTACTACTCCATCTTGATACAAAAGAAAAAGTGGGAATCTTGTTCGTGTCATGTTCGTGTTCATCAGGTTGGAGCCCAGCCCTTGTAGCTGAGTTTTGTCAGAAGGACATGAAGTCTGAGTAAATGTTGGCGATATGAAAATCCTCAGACATCAGTACCGCCCTTCACCTGGCTGGGGTGGGATGGGTAAAAAAGTTGTTCATCCGTTAACGGGGGAAATCAATCTCTATCAAAAAGTCGCTGATTGCTCGACTGAATGGACTGCTGAATGGAAGGCAGCTGCAAATCTCTGCGGATGGCTTCATTCCGCACGAACCAAGGAGCATTCATCATCCTTATTAACTTATTTTGCAATCTCTCCAGAATGGGGATATTATAAGTAGTCGCCTGTCCCCAGACGCCTGAAGCATACATGATGACGGGCTTGAACATCGTATTGTAGATGGTATTTTGTTCTCGAGTCTCATTTTGGATTTCCTGTTGATCAGAGAGTACAGACTGACTATCCGATCCTCGATCTTTGTTTTAACGCACATGATGTGTGGGTTCCAAATGAGCCTACGGTCTATTAGGAGACCGAGGTACTTTACCCGCGCTTGCCAGTCAATCTCCCTTCCAGAGATCCTCACTTTTTTGGCCGGAGAAGATTTCAATCTTCCCACTGAGTAGAGTGTTCAGTGTTCATATGAAAGTATTTGTTTCGAAAGAATTATTCTTTCGTGTAATTCAATGTTTATATGGGAGTAGCTGTTTCAGGGGGGCCTTTTCTCCCAGTTTGTGTCTGAAAGTTACTTCTTTGCATGATCTACTGATGTATGTATAGAGTTACTACTTTTAAAATTGATTGCTTCCTTACTTTCTTTGGAATATTCTCACTTTTTCTTTTGTATCAAAATAACTACTCCATCTTGAAGCTAAAAACTTTCTTTCCCAAAAATTAATCACTTCTAAAAATATAAACTTCTCTATATAATCAATAATACATATTAGGAAAATGTTCCACCAAGTGATGATTGATATAGAAGATGAATTCTGCAACAGGTTCATATACCTCGGGAGTTCCTCCAGTGTGATTTTCATCTAACTATAGGAAACGTTGATGATATCTATCTTCTTTTCTAATCATCACTTGGTGGAAAATTTCCCTATTTTCCTGGTGTTGGAAAAACAGATCTCTCGACTCGCGCTTCGCTAACCAAGTTAGCGTCCTCAGAAGATCATCATGACTCCATAATGATCTCCTGGAGACTTCATAATGATCTCTTGAGTACGTTTGTTTAGCGAAACACGCGTCGAGAGACCGTAATTTTGTTCTGGTGTTCGACGAGTTTTTTCAATAGATTCATTTTACGCCAGAGGTTCCAGTATGAGTTATGGAATTTCCCTAAAAGTATAGTTTCCATATTTATGATCATTCTATCCAGACACTATCAGTTACCACCATTTTGGTGTATTCTGTTAGTTCAGAGTTTTATCATTAACCTAGAAACCATTGAATATGTTTCAATCATTGGTGATTCAAAGTAAAAATTTAATTTTACCTTGTTCGAATGTGTTTTTTTCATATCGATGAAAATTTTCGTATCTTACTGTAGATTTAGGAAAAACTGAAAAACTACAAAAAAATGCATGGGAATGATTCTAATATATCTTGAGAACGGGAGATATCAGTTTTTTGCAAGGTCTTTAAAATTAATTGCTTTCTTAATTTCTTTGGACGATTGGCTTTCGTTTGGACTCTGTATGTTTTCCCTGTTCAGAATTTTCGGCATGAAAATTTTGGTAGAACATGCGAGAAGAAATTGTAAATTTACGACTACGTTATTTACTTTGTTTAATTCATCTCTGTATGTATGAGTACCTTCATGCCAAAACACCTGCGCACGCCCATGCTCACACATGACGCCCATCTCTGTCTGGAAGAGGGCAGAGTTAGGAATACACAACACATGTGATTGATAATTATAGCACTACGCTCTCATTATAGCTCCTACGAACACCGCGTTGGCCCTGCCATGGCCACAGTTTTCAGAAATTTTCAGAAATCAGGTGATCGGTGAAAAGTGCGAGTGCAGTGAGTGACAAGTGAGAGTTGTTCTTGGATCAGGAATAGGCGAACTGGATATTGAAGTAATTTTTTGTTTCTTTCGAATTTCTAGTGTGCGGATAAAAAGTTGTTTATTTTTGTTTTATTATTGATTCGGGTGCCAAGATTTAGCTACTAATATTGAGTTTTCCAAATGTGTTGAGGTTATTTTTGTATGATACTGATATTTATATGCCGAAGCGGTAATAGTGTAGGTACTTTTTGAAATGATCAAAAATAATATTTTTCAAAAATTTTATTGGTGTTAAACGAGGAAAAAATATTTTATAATGGGATGTTTCCCTGCGATGATGGTATTGTTTCGATAGCTGCCATCTGAACTAAATTTAATTCGTAATTCATTTATAATAAGGGTTCTCAAATTTCAAACATAAAAATTTATGTTCATTTTTTGATATGGCACACAACACTTCGTTTCAAAGACGTGATATTCGAATATTTTCTCTGAAAATTATATTCACTTTTGTAACCTAATTTTGTAACTCATTCACTTTGTGAATTCCCTGATACATTACAAATATCCGCTGAAAAATAAGTGAAAAAGTTATGATCATACTATTTCGCTAACCAATCAATCAAACATCGATATATTTTTTATTGGGAATGAGTAGACATTGAATAATAAATATTAAATCAAAATGTTCGCTTAATTGCTCGAAAATAGGTTGAAAATAAATTTAATAAGTGAATAAAGTTAATGTGAAATGGTTTAAAAAATATAGAGTGATATGGTATGTAGTCTGGAAAATTATAAAAAAATCTATAATGAATCTTGAATTATTTGAAGAAATAAAAACACATGAATGCATGATCTGAAAAACAATCATATTTTATTTCGAGTTACATAAAGATATTTTGATTATGTGTAGAAGAGACCGGGGTTGGAAGTCACGTTAATGGTCTTTTGCATTTTAAGTGTCCTTTTATATAAAATATCAATGCATCTATAGTCATTTGAAAAAAATATTATTTTTTTCTCCAACATCATCTATAGAGGAAATTTAACAATTCTTATGAAAAAAAAGTGTGACTTTTAACCCCGGGCTGGGGATAGTTGTCACAGTAGGGGAAGGTAGGGTGGAGTGGCCACCCTAAGCTTCCAACCCACGCCAACCGAATGAATGTCAACCTTTTTACAGTTTGTTTTTTTTATTATTATCCGTGTACTTATTAAGTTTCGATATTATATTGTTAACAGACCAATATTCTGATTGAATTGAAGGGGGTTATATTTTTAGGAGTGATTAAAAAAAAGTGATGAGAGAATCTTCCAAAGAAAGGAAGGAAGTAATCAATTTGAAAATAAGTAACTCTATACATGGATGTTTAGATCATGCAAAGAAGTAACTTTCAGACACAAACCAAGTACACTTATGAGACTCGACAAAAATGCGCGAATAGTTACTTCTGCTTTCCGAAAAAAAAAACAAATATACATATATCCCTCACACAGTATGAGAGTGAACTGAAGTGACGTTAAGATGGATATATTGCTCTCGCGATCCTCGATAAACTCGCGATGTTCAATAAACTCTTTCGTTCGTTCAATTTTACAATATGGCTGCTGTGACAACCAACCCGTTAGATAAATATACGCAGTCTCCCCTATTTTGTTAACTATGATCTTGTAAATAACATATTTCAGCTGTGTTTAAATGATATTTAAATTGAAGTTGTGAAGTTGTGCAGGTGTTAGTAGTGTTGAACATGATTGAAACATATGGGAAGGTGACTCCAACAAAATAACAAACTATATAGATAATTTGTTTCATGTTTTTCACCCAATACTGAAATCAATTTCTCTCGGTTCAAATCAATTGAATATGAAAAGAACGATTTTGCCAATCGTCTAGAAATTGGTATACACTGTCTATTCAAAAAATACGATGAATTTTTATTTTTCCCAAAAATATATTCATTCATTCGTCAATTTATATTCTATCCCATCCAAAGTAGTTCCCCTCAGATATAATACACTGGTTTCAGCGTTTTTTCCAAAGGAGTCCTGATAAGTACTTTTTGAAATGTTCTTGAACCCTCTCAGTATTTCGGTTTTTATCTTGTCAAAACGCCGTCCTTTCATAGTATAGGTCTTCTAAATTTTAGGAATAGAAAAAGGTCACAAGGGGCAAAATCTGGTGAATACGGTGGCTGAGGTATGATAACTGTGTTTTTGGCCATATAATTACGAATTAGCAATGACGAGTGAGCATGTGCATTATCGTGGTGCAAAAGTCATGAATTGCTTTTCCACAATAGCGAACGTTTTCTTTATATTGCTTCTCGAAAGCGTCGCATAACTTCAAGATAGTACTCCTGATGCAATACGCGACGGTAATCTATGAAAACAATGAGCAAACCTTTGACATTTGATCAGACTTGGCATGCTTTTTTGGTCTTGACTTTCCTGGGCTCTTCTATTGGGACAATGTCATAACCATATACCCATGATTCGTCACCAGGCAATTCTGTTTCGCGATTGACGTCATTCAACAATTTTTAAGCGATGCTCATGCCACGGTTTTTTTGGTCGAAATGGGGATAAAACCACAGTTGACTATAATTCACACAGATTAAAATAATTGGTTTGTTTTGTCTTTTAATTTTCTAGCTGAATAGAGTACAATTCATTCTTCAGGTGGTTAGTGAATTCAATACAAAACTCCAAAATATTTATAACTGGCAAAATGGTTTAGACTTTCGTGGCTGAGGTTTTCAGTGTCATTTTTTTTCGAGTTTGAAAGCCGTGGATTTTTGGAATTTGTTCCTGACGTTTCGCTGGCGCGAGTGGCTAGCTTCTTTAGAGATTTAACCATCACGGCTTGCTGTCCGATGACTAACTTTTAGGCTACATATAGCTTATTTATGCCTTGTCAGGTAATCAGTTGTATTTGTACCTGAACTTGTCCTTGCACTTGTACCTGTACTTGTACCTGTACTTGAACCTGGAACATTAACAATCTTGAACAGAATGACAACATGCAGCAAGATTGTTAATGTTCCACGTTCAAGTATAGGTACAAGTGCAGGGATAAGTACAGGTACAAATACAACTGATTACCTGACAGATCATGAATACGCTTCACGAAGCCTAAAAGTTAGTCATCGGACAGCAAGCCATGATGGTTAAACCTCTGAAGAAGCTAACCACTCGCGTCAGCGAAACGTCAGGAAGAAATTCTAAAAATCCACGGCTTTCAAACTCGAAAATTAATGACACTGATATTTATAACTGTTTCTGTCCAACGTCACAAAATTCACAATCATTCTGCTGTCCACAAAATATATCTGTTGAAAATCTCTTGACTATCAAGACCAATGTTAAAGCAAGGTTATCAATCGTCATCATTAACAGGTAACAGTCGATTTTTTTTAGTACCAGTTGAGGTAAGTTCGGAGCCAAAAAATGCAACTTTTCTACTACATTGAATCCTCATCGGTAGCGGTCGATCTATGAACGGTACAACAATTTTCCATCGATGTCGTAATTGGTAAAAAACCTGAAATAACGCTCAACTCAGTGACATGTCAGTAACCATGATAACAATGCTTTTGACCTTCCAGTTAACTCATACACGGTTTTGTGTGAAATTCACTTACATATTTCAAATCCTCAATCAAGGCCATAGAAGCAGTTGCAGGGAGCAACAGGATTTAATAATTATATATTACTCGTTACGAATGGGGTAATACAATATTTTGATTTCCTATCGAGTTGGCAAAGTTATATTTCCTCTTGAGACAGAATTCGTGCGATTATGTGAATTTAAATTTGTAATTGTGAGATATTATATATCTATTCAGTAATACCAAATAAAATTTTACATATCAGTTTTCACGTTTACTATCAGTCTCTTCAGATCATAGGAAAAGGTTGTAGGGAATGAAAATTGCATACCCCACTGTATGACTTTCAGAAGGTGCTCGGCAAAAAATTAACGTACACGTCAGTTTTGCTTTCAATGCAATTTTATTCGTCAAATTTTAGTTCTGTTCATTCAACAAATTATCCCACTAGATGATGCTCAACGAAAGCTCAACGAAACCCTTATCGAGAGTTTAACAAGAATTGAATGTTGGCACAAATTTCATGTGTTGACTGATTTTGGTTCAAAATAACAGTAAATTATTTCATTATTTCATGAGTATTTTCATGTATGAAGGATTGGAGGAAGTCCAGTTATAAGAAACCTCGATGCTTCTAATGCAAGATTCTCAGGTGTTAGACGGTACTTCAGTCACTTTCTAGGTTCCAAAAAAAATTAGGGAACAATTTTGATGTCTCACCTTTCCTGGTACCGCACCTTTATTGTTCTGATGCTTTGGTGAAACCTTTCTTTCTATTTTTCACTCAAGTTAGACAAATTGTCAAGAAAATGCTTTGATCATTATTGAGTTCAGGAAATTTACTCTCTATGTGTTGAAAACAGGACGCTTCATGTTCAAGTGTCCTAACAAACTGCTCCATCAACACAAGTCCTATATGTAACGCAGGTAAAATGATTTTTTTCTCGGAAAATTAAAGGCATCTGGATATTACTCTTTCTGAAAACTGTCATGGTCTTCCTCACTGGTCAGTTTCTTATTCTCCAGTGGTCTTCTCTAGCACTGCTATCTCAGAGACACAAGGAATGTAGATACTTTGTAAGTTCAAATTGTTGGACAAAAAAAATTTTTGAGGTCAACACAAATTTCCCTTTGGTGTTCGTTGAAGAAATGTCATGGTCTCACATACTGTTTCATCTTGCTGAATGGGCAATTGGAATCGATCCTCACTGATTACCAGAGATTGTCAGAGTCTGTTGCAAAACCAAACTTCGATATTTACCGCCGTACAATATTTCGCCTTCTTTCTCTCTGTCGGTGTCGAAGCTTGGCTCTTGGATGCATAAGTTTTAGTTTTCTTTTGATGAGGTTATGCTCTTGCCTATCAATCGACCAGATACTTTTTGCGCGACAATTTGTTTCCTGGTAGATTGATTCATCTCTGTTCCATGGCTGATGGATCTGGAAATAGCCACAAAGCTCGGGGAGTTATTTACCATTACCATAATGGTTGACATGGAAGAAAAAAAAACAAAGCCCAGTTTTCACTACAGTGAATGTTGTTACAATTTTCTCTCTTTTCAAATAAGAGAGATTCATCGGAGTTGCTCATTTTGAAATTTCTATTATCAACATGACAGAGAATATTTTAATAGTTATCTTATTGACTTTGGGATTCCTCAAAAAATCTGTTCACCTCCGCCTATGTTACTAAATGACGACCAACATGTAAACTATCAATTATATTGTTTATTTTATATACATCGTACTCTAATATACCTCAGTACGTCACACGGTAAACAACTTTTTATCTGCATACACTAACTACATTATGAAGCGAGTGGCTATGATATCGTAATTTGAATGTGTTCGTTGCAGAATTCAGTAAAAAATGTAAAACGGACCACGAAGATGAAAAAATTCATCTCCAAGAAAATCAACACCGACCAATGGCGGGTGGTGGTGCCGAATTTGAACTCCTCAATATTCAGAAAATCTCCATCGAAGGAGGAAGACAAGTCTGACAAGGAGTCCAAAAGGTCATCAGGTTTCTACGATTTTCAAGAAGCACAATCAGAATACGACAAGAGCAGGAGCTTGCCGAATAGTGTATACGTAGACACGGGTAGCTCGGAAGAAGACGAAGAAGAATTCCAAGATGCTACTAATATGTCGGACAAAAGCAGCTCGAAAAACAAGGACAACAGTGACACAGACATGGAATTGTACCAGGACGTAGAAACGTCAACTCCAAAAATTGTTTCCAAAAACATTGATCAAAACAACAGCAAGTTTGAATACGACGTGCCTCGAATAAGTTTCAAATTCTTCGAGAAACAGAAAGAAGAAGCTAAAAAAAATGAGGAAGCTTTATACGAAAATGAAAAGAATAGTCAAGAACTTGCAACTGTTTCGAAAAGTGAGATTAAAATTGTTCTATCAACACCGGAAGATGAAAGGAAAATCATTCTGGAAGCTCGAGAAGAACCAGCCAGAGAAACTCCCGTTGACGATGACTTGCCTGTTTGCCATCCTACCGAGAGGTTCGTATCTCACACTGAAATATTCGTGAAGAGTTTGGAAAATATTGAAGTAGATGTGATAAAATCTTCCGGAAGTGATCCCATTCTGGTTCAGGGAGAAAATGAAACTATCGCTGATGACGGCTTGTACCAGATACCAAGATCGTTGAAGAAGACGCATAGATTATCACGATCTTTAACAGACTTCGAATTGGAAAATATTGAGAATCCTCCTGATGCATTATCTTCGAGTCAGTCTAGTATCGAGCATATATCTGTTAGTCAAGTGTTTCCCAGAAGTTTCGTCAATGAAACCTCAAGAATGAGTTCTGAAACTGTTAGTCAAACCGATTCGAAGATGAGATTCCCCCGCATCAAAAAATCCTCTATTTTGATAAAACCGAAGGCCAAATGGAATGACTTCAGAAACAAGATCAGCAATATTATGATTGAGCACGCTAGTCAGCAAAGAGTTGGAGCATTCAGTGATAGAGAAAAGGTCACTATTAACCTAGAGGAGATGTACAAAAACTCTAAAACGAAGTGCAAGAAGGTTCTTCGAAGCACCAGCAAAATTTTTCAGAAAAAGAAGCATGGTCTTGACGATACTGGTTCCAGAGTGGTAAGAAAAAACCAGTTGACAGCTAGTGATATAGAATACAGGCTCAATTATAGTGATAGTAGTAGTGAAATTAATGACAGTAAACTGCTTCATGGCAGTAAAGTTTCTAGAGATAATTGTACGAATGACCGTGAATTGTTCAACGATGGTGTCGGTTCGAATGTACGTTGTGCGAATGATAGTACTTTTCCAAATAATAATAACTTTTCCAATGATGAGAAAGGAGATTTTGATGTCGGTGGTATACTCAGTTCTACTAAGAGGAAGGTCTCTCTCGAGGAGGTAAGCAATTTTTGAAATTGATTCAGTAATAAACAGATATTTCAACAAAAAAAAATTGGCAACTGTGAGCATCAATGATTTTAATTCTTGTTCGTCCAATCGAGCGATTTCTTGAAATACTTTGAGAGTCACTAAAAATCTATATTTATCGGAAAGTAAGGCACATTTCTAGACATTTTACAAGTTGCCATTTAGATATTATTTTCACTTGTATTTTTTTTTCGGAGGTATTAAGAAGACCTACTTACAATTTGAAAGTATTTATAATGTTACCGTAATTTTTGTACCATTGAAAATAAAACGGTTGAAAAATATGTGGAGTGAGGTTTCATAATAGATCTGATTGAATAAATTTTCATCAAAGTAATCCTTAGCCAAAAAAAACGATTTCAAAATTAACGTTTTCTGAAGTATATGTCGCAATCTAAGTGAACAATCTACAGTTTTTACTTTTTCAATAGAAATGCATATCTACTAGTAATAGTTGAATTGGTTCCCAATTTGTTACCATTCAAACAATTCTCTAAATATTCTTTTTCTGAAGTAATATAACAAAGAAAGATATTTGTGTTTGTAATGGATGAACTGGAAAATTACATATCTGATTTTAAAAATTATTTATTCTAGTATATATTTTATACAGGGTGAGTCAACAAAATTTCCTCGGTCCATTGCTATCAGGGAAAACAATTTTTCGAATTGCTCATTCTTTTACGCAGTCATATCGATGAACAGTATCTTTTAACATTCATTTTCTCGCATAGTAGGTGATTTAGCCGAGCGTGACCAACCAAAGTTACATTTTTTTTAAATAGAACACCCAGTATATGAATACGTCATCGATTCCATATTTTTTAGCTCTCTAAGTAATTTTTGTTTTCGAATTTCTATTGCGGCACTGCCAAATTATTCCAGAAAAACCTATTTAGCAGACAATAATTTTTTAAGTTACCAACCGCATGTCTATAGCAATTGAGTGGATTTTTTTCAGGAACAGTAAGTCAACATCACTATGATAACTTCAGGAATCTCAACTTTCAGAAACAATATATATGATGCTCGGTAAAACCGGTCAAGTTTCATTCATTTTCAAACAGACATAATTCAACTTTTTAAAATGGAACACCCTGAATTTTTTCATTTGTATGAAATGTTTCAACATTTCACTACATTTTTTATCGGAGGTATAATATACGAAAAACTGATATTTCACAAATTATACCCAGTTTTATTTATTGTTGTAACCACAAAATATTCATTTATTCACTTACTCAATAAGGCCTAAATTTTTCATTAAATAGAAGAGCCCAGAAGATGTTCAAAATGGCGACAATTTTCTGCAACACATAATGTCGGTCTTTTTTTAAACGAATTCTCTACACGTTCCAGCATGTCCTCTGGGATTTCCCTGAAAGCTCTAGTGAATCTACGTTTCATGTCTTCTATAGCTGGAGAAGTTTGGTAGACAATCTATTTGATATAACCCCATGAAAAAATACATTTTGGTCAGGTCAAGTGATCTGGGTAGCCATGCCACAGGCCGACCCTTACCTATCCATTTTTGATTGAAATGATCGTTGAGTATTCCTGTACCTTAGTTGGTGGTGGTGCATCATATTGTTGTAGCCACAGTCTAAGTCTTGTTCCATATGGAACCTCGTCCAATAAATTCTAAAATTCATGCCGAAGAAATCTTACGGTGAGATGCCCATCCAAAAAGACGGATCGCTAACTATTTTTTCGAGAATTCCACCCCAAATATTCAGTGATTGCTCTTTTCTAAGCCCCATCGGCAAAATTGAACACGTTTTTTAAAATCTCTTCCTCTTTACTCATGCATCAATTGCATGTGGTAAGGATGAAATTTGCTTGCTCGTATCATTCAAGACACGTTGGTTTGAGAAAATCCTAATTCCCTGCTCAGGTCTCGGGTACACACATGGGTATCTTCAACAAGGTGGAGAGCAATTTGAAATGTATTTTCTTCATTTGTTACAGGGCAGACACGTACTAACTTCTCGTGATTTACATTACCAGTTTTTTCAAATCTTGTTTTTAGAGTCTGAAATGCCATTCCATCTGGTTGTCTTCTTTCGGTAAAATTCTCTTTGTAAATCCTAGATGCAAGGAGGCAGTTTCCGTCACTTTCCACCAAAGCATAGACCATTTGCACCATATCTTCCAATACATAATTCATAATGAAAATGATTCAATTCACACACGAAAGAAACTTCAACACATGGCGTTATTGACAAATTCCGAAATTTATTTTTTGATGTCAGTCATGGATAACTGGGTTTTTAAAGAAAAGAGCAGTATAAATATTCTTACCGTTGAAACCGCTGATAACTATCACTTGATAGTATAAAAAATGCGTATGTATAAGCGATCAGCTCGAACATTCGAAAAACAAATTTACGTATCACCCTGTATATTATATTTTTTATATAAAAATCAATTATTTGTCATGCGCGCAGGGTTAACAATCTAATAATATCGTCTACAGAATGAATTGTTACATAAATGAAAGAGTTTCATTATTTCACAATTATCATTTATATTTGAAAAGAATCATCATGTTTCACTTATTTTTTATATAGGACTCAACCAAATCATCACGATATCAATAGATCCCATTTTTTTTCTATGGAATTGTTATTTTTAGTTTCAAATACATATTTCATTGACCTAAGAATGATTACTATTTATTGACAGTTATCAAATAAAAAATCTTCATGGCCTTTCAGTGCCGTTGTGAAATAAATGGAATCTGTATCTTGAGTCCAGCAAACGTCAAATTACAATTGAATCAGTTATTGAAACTGTTTGTGATTTCGGGTTTTTAGGCCGTCGTCTGTTCAAATTTCTTCTTGACTCGCAGGCGAGAGCGGCTGGCATCTTCAGAAGCTTGTGTGATCGCTCCTCCGAAGATACCAGCCATTTGCGTTGGCGAAATGTTAGGAACAAATTCCAAAAGACGAGGGCATACCCCGAAATCACAAATAGTGTCACGGGATGACCTCGAAAGTCCAAATTTCTACATTGAACCAGTTACTTTTCAAATAACAATTCATTCATATTTTACTTCACCAAAGCTCATTGTTTGAAAGGCAAAACCATTTCGTCATATTTTATCAATAACACCGCACACGACAGTTGTCACATTTTCAAAGTATGAATTATGTTCTGTTGTGACAACGAAATTAGTAAATTTGATAGACTTTCGGTGCTTGCGAAGCCGAGTAAGAGTTACACACATCGGAAAAGTCTAGGGATGATATTATTTTCACTTGTATTTTTTTTTCGGAGGTATTAAGAAGACCTACTTACAATTTGAAAGTATTTATAATGTTACCGTAATTTTTGTACCATTGAAGTAACCGTTCCCANTGTTTCCAGTTCAAACTCATTCCTTGTTTCTATTTCAATGGTTAATCCTCACAAAAAGTACTTCAAAAATTATTTCAATCTCCAATGAGTTCCCGTCTATCCTCTATGAACAATCTTAGAAGCTTGCTGAAGGAAAGGTCTTAAATATGAATGTACGATTCTAAATCGATGTGTTTGAAGGTGGTTGACAAAATCGATGTGCACTAAACACAAGAATTATCAACTTATGTGGCACACTTACTTCTATCACACTATTCAAGATATTCGTCTAGACTGAAAGACGGTCTGAAGATTTGTTTTTAATACTTCAGAAAGTGACAGGGTTTGAATCGACGCCAATTAAAGCAGAAGTTTTTTTTGGGTGAAACTCGCTAAATCATTTACTAACGAAAATAGATGAGAATTTTTTAAGAATATTTTCCCGTGCAAACTCTGATTGTTCAGAGCTGGTAGTGCACCACAAGTGCAACACTCAGAAATGATGTTCAGCGTTAAGCCTAATTCGCACGAGCGCGTAACGTTCGTTATAAAAACGTTAAAATGAATCAACTGGATACTCGAGTATTTGTATCAAGCAGTGTTCCATTTTAAGCGCTCGGCGATGGACGTTATTTCAAAGTCATTTTTTGGCATTCCCTTTTATTTTGTACAGACGGAAAGTGAAAAACTACCTCGTTTAATATGGGATTGGTTTTAAGTACCCGTTCGCTGCTAGTACCAATATTTTCTTGAACGTGCTCATGAACATGCAAAAACTGAACTTGTCTTCTTGCAACACAATTTCCTATCGTTGGTAAATTAGCTGAATTCATTTCACTTCCTAATATGCAGCGAAACACGAGAAAAAAGTGATTTCAAAGCGTTCTCATGAACAAATGTATTGCAAGGCAACATCGCCAACATCGACTTTGCAACATTATATCAGCTATCGTTTTTTTAACTCTCTTGATGAGATTGGCCAAAAACATTCAGCTTTCAATATTTGGGAAATCAAAACTTCGGAGTGCAATGGTCAACATATCGTTA